ATCACAGCTCCTTTGCCCTTATTATAGCAGGAAAAATATGTATTAATACTAGGATTGCTTCAATTTACTCATGTGAATATTTTTAGAGTAAAGCTAGCTGAACCTTTTTGTCAAAGTTTATTTCCAATGGAGTATGTTACTTCTTTGAAGCCAAAATGTTTCATGGAAACACATTGATTTCAACAAAACTTTTCAAGGGAAAGCTTCTAAGGTCCAGGCTAGAATCTCTAGTTACCTCAGGAGATGAAGACATTGAAAACCTGACCTTTTCAGATCCTTTCCAAAAACGGGCATTTGGATATAATTCCCTTTCACAAAAGCATTACAAAGTTTGGATTTTGTTCCAACAAGGAATAACAATAAATTTGAAACCTCAAAGAGTGTCATGAGATGGAATAGATGTGCCCTGACTAGCTGCAGTGGTCAAGCTGATAGAGAATATTTGACCTCAAAGGATAAAGATGTGTAAAGACTGAGAAGTGAGATTTTCTTTACTTTAGACTGCAATAATATTTGCTATGCCTCATGACCTCTCCAACTGCATTTTGTAACACACCTCCCCAGCTCCTCCAGGCTTGCAGCCCACTGGTGAAGGAGCAGAGATGTAGGGCAGCCATTGAAGGATGGATGATCAAACTCCTACTGAAAATGCCCTGGAGATAACTTAAGTTAGTTTTCAAATAGTCTATTGGCATCCAAAGTCTCATGGCTCTATCAAGTAGCCCATTTCTACCTGAATAGCTCTACTTGATATGCAGGATCTCACTGTGAAAAAATGTCCAAAAGGCAAGTTAAGTTGTAGGGCACAGCTACTTTGTGCCAAGACCATATGGCTTCAGTGCATAAGAAAATGAAAAGCTTCAGGGAAGGAGGGACTGGATGACTCAAGAATTTGTAATAGGAGCTGGACATTTTCTATTCTAGGTTGTTATGTGGGATCAGACCAGCAATCAAAGCTTCAACCATTACACTGATAACCAGTGTAAAGTGTCTCGTGCTTACTAAAGCTGGGATCATAGAGACTGAGAGTTTTTGTTTAAGATGTTCTCTGTGGAGGCTCAGGATGGTATCAAAACCAGAACCGAACCATTTCTCGCCCCTTCCTCATGAAGTTGATTGAGACTGGATGATAGAAATAAATCTGCAGGGGTTGCTTTTGCTGGAGAATATGGTTTCCAATAGCCCAATCCCTTCCTGAAGTCAGAGTGGAAACAAATACTGGTGACTTTATCCAAACAGGAATGTGAAAATTTCCTGGGTAAACCTCTGTCTTTAGAGGCAATGAAGTACTGAACTTTGAAGAAGGCTCAGTTATAATCTCACAAAAGGAATTATAAAATGAGTAACACTTCCTTTCTTTTGTCATTAAAATTATATTTCCAGTTTTCTTTTTCCCCTTTACAACTGCAGTTTAGCATGACTCTAGGGGAAAATTCAATTTTATGTTACATTTTCTGTTTTTACTGCTAAAATAGAAGTGGCTTGTAGAGGATTTTACCTCTTATTTGGGATTTTAGTTATTATGTCTATTAGTATTTTGTTCCTATATCTGACCTTGCATGCATGTTTGAAAGAGCTACAGCTGAGGGTTTCAGAAATGACTTTGCTTCAATTTGAGGGCACGATCAGGGCTTTAGGCTGACAATACCTCTACCTTGTTTTGGTGTTTTGGCTCATGGTCCAGACAATGTGGTATGGAATAGGTGCCAGAGAGGGGTTATGTGCTAACGAGTTCGCAGGCCCTGTCTGTCGTCCATCCTCAGTGAAGCCTGAAGTGCCTTGGCTGCTGCATGATTTACTCTGAGGAACATCGTCTCTGTTTGTTCAATGTGGGTTATACATTTACTAGAGGTGGCCCTTCTCCGTCCCCGTCAGTCACGGCTCACTGCTGCGTTTCTTTTGGGCACTCTTGGCAAGGCATTTTGTTTGGATCACTTTGCCTCTCTGGTTGAGTTTATCTTGATAAATAACTCTCACAGATGATGTGATATCAATGACTGTTTGCTGAGACAACACTGACATCCAGCCTGGGCAGGAGCAGCTTAGTGACCATGGCATGTATTTGCTGTTTGAAAATCCTCTGCTCTAACCTATTCCCCATCAGGGCTGGATGGAAGATAATTGCACTGCAGAGAAAGGGTCAGGTTTGAACAAGAAAAGCAGCCCGTTACAGCACTCATCGCCAGGTTGTGTACAGCCGGACCTGCAGGTCATTCCCGTGCTTACCTTTGAGACTGAGCTCACACACCACCACTTCTGCTTTTGCAAGGACCAGATCCACAACGGCTACTTTAGCACCGGCTTCCCCCAACGCATGAGCAAAGGCTCTTCCAATTCCCTGCCCTCCGCCTGTGACATAGGCCACCTTGTCATCCAAACGCAGCCGGTCAAGGATGCAGCGCTTGTTATAACCCCAGAAGACGTCATCCCTCACCACTTCTTTCTAAAACAAGAACGTATGTACGTAAGGTCCAAGGCTCAGTAAGTGATAGCTATGAAGGACTCTGCCTGTGAGAATGAGGTGGGAGCAAGCACGGGGATCCATCTCTTCTTGGCCTGTTATTTAATACAAAAGGTATGACTAATTCAAGCCAAAAAGCACCCTTATCCCTAGAGATATCAGTCTCAACAGGAGCACTAAGATGCAAGACAATGGAGCAGAAGGGCTGTGCTTTGGGGAGATGCACTGACCACTCAACTTACATGAGAGTAGGGTATGGTATTTCCTGACCCAGCTTCCCATGGGACACAGGTCAGGTACAATGGCTTAGAAGATGACTGATTAAGTCTTCCAGTTATTTCATCCCCAGGGCTCAATCCTGCCCTCAGGCTCAGCTGTCTCCAGGAAGGCACGGAGGCTAAGAACAAGTTTCCAAAGGCAGGATTTAGCTCAAATGGAGTGCAATCAAAACATCTTCACAAGGCTGGAGCGCAAATAAAGATATCAGCCAACAACTTAAACCAAGCTGTCATCTGATCAGCTGCCATACATCATTTCCCCCTGACTGGAATCAAAATGGAAAATACAAGATGTTTGAAATACTGAGTTTGAAATGACAGGAATTACCAGTGGGTGTAGCTTTGGGAGCAGTCAGAAACTGCAAAACAATCAGGATGTTTGGGTCTGGATTTACAGCGTTAGGCCATTAGGATTCCAGATGGGAATTGCATTACAGCTGGATGATGCCCACTACATAAAACGGAGAAAGATGAAAGCACCATCCTTTCCACAGGACAAGCAAAATCTAACGCCATGAAAATACTCAACTTGGAGACCATAGGAGGGCATCATGTGCTGTCTCTGGGTAACAAAAGAGCTACTTCAGAAATATTGCATTGGTTCATTACGGCTGGGCCCCAGCTCCATCCTCCCACACTCCCCTGCACGGGCAGGACCGGAAAGCACCGGGCACCGATACCCAACAAGCAGCATGCCAGCCGATCCGGGGGTTTATCACAGCACCAGCACGGCTGATCCAAAAAACTTTGCAAAGAATCAGCATTTAATAGCTTCAGTGTAACCCTGGACTGGCGAGGTTAATATGTGCCAAGCCCTAAGATGGTAAGTCCATGCTGCACAGCACCACGGCTCAATAGAACGTGAGTTTGGGCTCTTGCCACTAAACTCCTTGAAATTATTTTGTCATTGTCCTCGGCAGAGTTCAAATTTTCCCAGAAGTGCTCAGAGAGAGGAAATACACACCTTGGATTCAATCACTGCATCTGGAGGTGCAGGGCTCCTTCGAATGATGCTCAGTCCACTCTGCACAGGTAAAATTATCTGCAAATATAATGGATACGCACACAGTTCTCAACTGCTTTGTACTTGGCTTTCTATCACCCAGATTCCACTAATATGAAGGATAGTCCTTCCTTCCTTAGGCCACAGTAGCTTTTCTCCTAGTCCTATTCTTTAGCTGAAACTCCTTCCAACACAGATATGTCAGGCATTCATATTTGCTCACATTCCTCTTCCAAATTCACAGCTTCCAAAAATGCCAGGAGAAAAATGCAATTTTGTCTCACAGTTTTCTAAATCAGTGCCAGCTGCTGAGGGTTCTGGGTTTCCACTGCCTGGTTAATGCTGTTATGAGGATATTCCAGTCTTACTCCTGGAATTCAGCAAACCATAATAGCAACACTTTGATGTTCTTCAGTATTTGCTAGAACATCTGTCCTGCACCTATAGGTGAGTATCGGTGGGTTTTGCCACTTACCTTCTCTGATACCATTATCACACTTTAGTGAAAGCTGCACTAGATGTTGGAGATTCAACAGCAATATCAAACTATTAGAACATTAGATATGGAAACATCATGCTATTTGCATGCATTGAATGGCTAACAGTAGGATTCAGGGCATAGAAAAATGTCATTAATCTTTCTCTCTTCTACACAGAAAAGCTCTTGCTCCTGGTACTTTAGCTGATAGTTGTGCTGACGATAGAATAAATACAGAATCATGGGAGGCACCTCTAGAGGCCATCTGACCTGCGGATAGGCAAGGACCTTATGTCTGCAAGGCGCACACCAAAACCCTCTGGGCTTGAACCTCAACCCCCTGTGCCAAGGAGAGTTATGGCAGGGGAGAGTGTGGGAGGAGGCACCTGGGAGGGAGGTAGCAGACCTCACCTGTCCCACCATGCGACCAGCCTTACAGGGATCTGGCCATCCTTGGTGGCTTCCCCCAACCACAGCAACCCCTCTGCCACCCCTGTGCATCCACAGCATGAGCGCAAGATTTGCAGGCTGGTGGCTATTGCCGTAGGGTAGCATCATTCACACCTGCTTGTAAAGGTCTGGAGGATATGTGTCGAATTTTGTCTCTAAAACCACAGCATATTGTTTATGCTTCCTATTACTACTTTTTTTTTTTTTTTTCCCCTTCTCCTGATGGAGTAGGGCTTTGTTGACTCCTGTTGTGCTAGTGATGCCCTACAGCCCCCAGAGCCTTTAAAGCAGAGCGATGGTTCCTTGGTTGTACTGTAGAGCTGATTATTCACTCTTAAGTGCTCCACTTTCATCTTGCCTGTAACACTCTATATGATGTAGACAGAGAGTAGGGACCATTTCTGATTATAGAAACTCATATATAGAGCTCAAGTGAGGTGAATTATAATAAAACTTGAGTTCATTTTAGGTCCTCTGGATAATGGCACCAACAAAAGAAACATTTTAAAGAGTACTTTGCAAAATCCATAGATACAGTACCACAGGCACCTTAACCAATTGCATTGCACCAACCTGCTCAACACGAGGATCTGAATTAATCACTGTATTTAATTTTCTGACAGCTAGTACATTTTCATCAGATATGTTCTCCAGGTATACTTCTCCTTTCATGAGTGTATTCTCTACACAGATCACTGCATCCATTCTCAGCAAGTGGTTATCCATGACAAAGCTGTAGTAGTTAACAGCATTCCTTTGATCAGCATCAATAAAGACCATATCAAAGTGCTCGTCCTCAGCATGTAACGCCTGGAAAAAAAATTATGTTGGAGAAAACACTAATTATTTACCTGAAAATTTAAAGTCTTGCCATTAAAATGTCCTTTATGTAAAACCCAAACCAGAGGGAACCCTGCTCTTTTAAGGTAACATTGCTAGAATGACTTCTGAGTCATTTCGTGAGTTTTCCACACTTTGCAAACAATTCTTCAGCAATGCTGGTGCCCAAAACTCAATCTCTCAAAGAAAATCAGGTTATAAAAGAGGATGGCTCACCCCAACTTGTGGTGTTGAGAGTCACAGTAGAAACATCTGCATATCTAGAGTCAAAGGGAACTGATCCATCAGGATAAGGGAGAGAACTGGCATCAAACCCTGCAGGTGAGGTGCTGCAATAAGTTATCTCTTCTCAAAAGAGTAACTATCAACGAATTGAAGAGTGGCAATTATATCAGTCTGAGGAAAAGAGGCAAAAAGCTGATCCTGGGAATTGCAAACTAGTGAGTCCCACTTCAGTAGCAGGAAAACGGTTGAAATCCCAATTAATAATAGAATTATAAAGCACATAAAAGAACAGGTCATGATAAAGATAAAGCAGCACAGCTCCTATGAAGGAAAACGATGTTTCTTTAATCTAAAAAAATGCTTTGGATGGCTCAGCAACAGAGAGGATAAAAGAGAACTGGCTGCTATCATCTAATTGGATTTTCAGAAATGTGGCACACCTTCCCTCCAAGCAGGCTGCTGATGATAATGTATAAAAGTGTTGATGGATGACCAGATGGGAGCCTTTACAGCCTTCTCCTGTGGCAGTTAATGCACTCGCTGCCCAAGAGGCTGCTATGGAATATTTCAGATTCCATCTGGGACTATTTAACTGCATCTGTGTGCGTTGCAATGAAACAACGGCTCATCCACCTATCTCGGCAAGCAGAAACGCTTTCAAGTCTTGGCATTTCAAGTGAAAAAGAGAAACAATTATGTTTTCCAGAACTCACTGTTTCTACCACAACTTTTAACAGTACTTCTTGCATCCAGATTTCCCTTTTGTGTTTGGAGACATTGTGCACAATGAGTGCCGAGCGATCCCCTGAGATGTACAAGAGAAAGCATCAATAACAAATGGCAACAGAATGTGAAAAACTCATTTGTTTGGGGGAGTGAGGTTGATGGCTCCCAAACAGAGACTTTGGGAGCCTTTCTGAAGCAGGGAGTGTGTCATTCAGATGACAAAATAGCAGAAAGTGGATCACTGAAGCTCTGAATTACTCTATTGTGCAAACTGGTGCCATTGTGCGCTTGTTGGTGGGCAAGAAATTAATCCTGCCTGAGAGCCTGGATAGTCACACTTAACTGCAGATGCTTGATAGCACAGAAGCTCTGCCAAAAGCATTCATGAGTCCACATTTAGGACACCTTTTGATACCACACTATAATGAAAGAAGACCTTAAGGCCAAATATATGCTGGTTTATAATAAAAGTAGCAGAAACTGGGACATCTGGTTTCCTAGATTGACCTTTTCTTTTCATGACCAGTAAGAAAATTTTGCCCTGTTTTCCTCTTGAGCTGTACTGGGGGAAAGCAGCAGGAATGTTTTTGCTACTGTCGAAGAGCATCTTACATCAGGTTGCAACTCAGCCAGTCTGTCCAATGTAGATACTTCAGGAAGGGTCAGAAGATGAAAGGTGGGAGGAGGAGTCCATCAGGAAGAGAGATTAGAGGTCTCATTCCCCAGAGACAAGAGCCAGAGCCAGAGCCAGATTCAAGTAATTATCATGACTTATCACTACTTTCTGACTGGTAACCTTCTCGGGCGGAGGAGTTGGGGGGCAGACATTCAGAAGCAGATGTGGCCATCTCTGAGCATATGTTACTACCGCTCCGTGGTATGGCTCCCTAATGAAAAAGAATCTCACTTTTATGCATTGACTTCATTAGGTCCATATGGAGTTGTGTAGCTCTTTGGATATTAGCTGGACTTCTCATTTCAGCCCTCTTTCTCTATTGCCTACGTGCTGACAGCGTATCTCCTTCTTAGCTGTCTTCTGATAGAGATAAACCTCCTTTAAACGGCCCAGCTTTCATCCCAGGAAGGTGCCTGTGGTGTATGCGTATCCAGCACACGCCTGTCTTGCCTTTGCGCTGCCCGAGTGTGCAAGGCCACTGTTTGGAGGGCATTTCTCTTCTGCCAGTTCATCAAGTCCCGAACGGCCAGCCATGAAGGTCACTTGGGCACCTTCCGTTTCTTCTAGATACCTAGTACTAGACACCCATATGGAAATGCCTGAATCACTGCCTTGGAGTTCATACTGGGACCCCACCATCATTTGAGCTTCTTGTTTCCACAGCTTCAGGATTGCTGTTGGGTTTTCCATATTTAGCTGGAAACAGCTCCAGGCCTGAAATTCCTTGAACCAGCTTTGCCTCTGGAGCAGCCTCTACGCAAGGGGGTAACAGCCACAGGAATGGGAAAGTGCTCCGTTTCCTGAGCTCTTTGGCTAGCAGAGCACGGGTCACCCGGACAGGCGGTCACCGTGAGGGTTTCCTCACTGAAAAAAAACAGACAGCCAAAAAGAAAAAAAAGCTGCTCTACTGGTAGCTCTGACTGCAGAGCTAAGCACTGGAAATATCGGTGCAGTGATGGAGAGGAGAACTCACTGCTGTCCCTCTCAAAATGGATGAGGGGGTTTAAGAGGAGGGATTGACCACCCTTGTCCTCCCAGAGCAGACTGGGTCAGGCCCTGCCTGGGACCTCACAGCATGTTGGAGATGCCTTTGTCCCTTGCTAGGAGAGAGGCAGAGCCCAAACATCTCCAACTGTGAGGAAAGCTGAGATCCAGAAGGAAATAATCTGCCTGCAAAATATCCCGCTGAAACTAATTTCCTGAATGTTTACAGTGCAATCTCTGCTCCTTGCTACAGAGGCATCATAGACGGTAACAGATGGCAACAAGAAGTGTCTTAATTCAGAGCAAACTTGGCTAAAATTAATGCTTTTGCTTACAGTGAGTCATTAACTTCCTTTTGGATTAAAAAAAAAGAAAAAAAAAAACAACTTGTAGCACTGCATTCCATAGAGGAGATGCAACCAACAGCAAGCATGAGAAAGGGCACAGCAGCACTGTTGGCAGATACGGAAAAGATCAGGGAGCAGACATCCCGAATGAAAACATGAATGAATCTTCTGCCAAAGCTCAGAGAAAACCTGATTGGAGTCCTGATCAGAGACAACACTCTCTCATAAGGCACATACAAACTCAATCAGAAAAAAATGACTGTCCAGTTCCTTTGATATGGATCACACAGTCAGCATATTTGTAATAAAGATGTACTCAAAACTTATTACCTTCCCTATGCCTTGTTCTTGACCTAAATGTAATAGCAATCCATCCTTAGGGTACACAGAATACAGGAAAAAGTACAGCTTCCTTTTAAAACACCATTAGAATATTTTACTGTATGTGGACATACACTCTTGTTACTCCTAAATGCTATTCTATTGAGTACAGTTTATATTCACCGGCAAAGCTAAATCTCTAGGGAAGCTAGAGAGGGAATGCAATTTCTAGTAATAACAGCTCACAACAGTGAATACTATCCACTTATCCCCACAATTTCCAGCTATTTTGGACTCCTTTCTGAATTAACCTTTCATATCAAAAGGAGCAATTCTGCACACTAGAGACTCCGACACAATTTCATGCATAATTTATTCACTCAGTTCAACATTAAACGCAGAGTCCTTGACTTTGTCAAGGTGGATTCTGTTGGCAGACTTCACAAGCAGCAAAACAGGAGAAATGAGATCTGCAGCTCAACCTCTTCACCTATTCTGTCTGGTAAAAGGAGGGGAAAAAAGAAAAAAGAAAACCCCGACATGCTTACACAATGCCCTGCAATCAGCAGAATCTGCTGCAAACACAGTGTTATTTTTTGTGTTGCGTTTTCGATTTTAAAATGGAAGGATCAAAATCATGGATGAGAATAATTTCCTGGTAGTTTGCATTCCCTCCAGACTCAATCCTGCATCCATTGTTCAATCAAAAGTCCACTGGGAATTGAAGAAAGCTCTTTGTGCAGGATCAGGCCTCTTGCTCACAGCTGGTGCATGGCAAGGCACATTATTCAGGGGCAGCATGACAGAGTTTAGACTTAAGGAGCTTGTTGGGAAAGGTTTTAAAACACTGGCCCAGCACATGTTGAAAAGGTATCTAATTCCCACTGAAAGCACCTGTATGAGGGACTGAACCCAAAGAAAGGCTTCCTCTCAGTCCACATTTCAAAATATTATGCAAAAATTACTGAGGTCATTGGGAACAGAGGCTTCTGCCGTGGTGTATGTGAGGTACGTGCTTCGGTGGGGACCTAACCTAGCTTGGCAGTGTCTGTCCTTCACGCGTGGGAAGGGTGGATTTTTTCCATCGAGCCCTCAGGTACCATATGAACCTCACTGTGTACCTGAGCTCTGCGGCTCCTGTCTGGTATTTAGCATCCTTTGACAGCTCAAAATCCCAGATGTTTTGCAGCTGGCTCTGATCTGGGACAAGAGACGGGGAGACTGGCCAACCCCACCAACGCTATGTGATAATACAAGGAGCAGCAAGAGGCTTCAGAAAGCCTGGTCAAGGTGCCACTATGGATGGATGTGCTGTCTTTGCACTGCTTTCCTCTCACTCACAACCCTGATGAGCCGTGGGTGGAGGTGGAAAAACCAGGGCCACGTGGGTGCCACCAAGGCCCTGCTGTCTGAGGCACGCTGGCACAGATGTGTCACATCCTTGTGGCAACTGCTGCAACATCTGGCAGCTTTCCTTGTAAAGGGCATCGAGAGCAGATGTGGATGCAGCATGGGACACATCCTGTAGCACCTGGATGGTACCCTCTGCCAGAGGCTAGGATGTAGCTCTGGGGTGGACTAGTTTTACACCAAAAGTGAGAGTACATCATATGCCTTCTGGCAATTTGGACTTTCTGAATCACAGCTTCATGCAGCAGAAAAGGACTTCCCTGCCACGTAGTGTTATTTATATATCATATGACACTGTTGTGCTTTGAAAGAACCAGTGCAGTGAGGCAAATCCTCTGCTCCCAGGAGCTTGCACTGCTGCAAAAATCTGAGCAGCAGCAGATAAGCAGAAATCCTGCCCTATTGCACTCAGCTTGGAAGCAAAATTATGCCGTGGTCACCATAGCAAGAAAGCTGCAGCAGACACCTCCAAAGAGCAAGTGGTAGGTGACCATCTCTGCCCCCTAATTTCCCTAGAGGGACAAGAACGAAACCTAGGGCTGCAGACACGACAGACAACAAAGACAATCCTTGCCAGAGCTTGTTCCAGCTCTCCTGAATCTCACCACGCTTTTCAACAACCATTAGCCAGCTCTGCTCGAGACTAGTCTACCTGCGGACGATGGGGGACAAATGGTGTTGTTCTCCACCTCCTCCATGAAGCTGAGCTGGGAGAGCTCAGCTGTGCCATCCCTGGCCCATCTCCCACCTGTGACTGCCCTGTCCTCCTGCCTTTCGGCATGCCCATGTGGCAGTGGAGGAAGCTTGCTTGGTCTCCAGCCTAAACTGCTCTGCTCTAGGAGGGAAAAGGCAGCACGTTGTTCACAGCCTGAGCCTCTTCCATGCATCCAGGTGTGTTCCCACACGGCTACCCCACTCCAGCCAGGTATATCTCAATAAGCCCAAAATGCAAAGGCACCAGAGAGGTCACCAAATGCGGTGCTTCAACATTTACACCCATTGTGGACTAAGACTTGTAGGACAATCCTGATTGTCCTCATACCAATGACAGAATATCTACCAGGTTGAGCAACAAAAGCTCAGAGCCCAGTGCAGAAATCCTGCATAGAGAGGTGTCCCAGCGATGGGATCTCTCCTGCCAAACACAAGCACCACCGCTCCCATCAGCTCCAAGACCTATTTGAAGTCCTGAGTACCTGCAGAACTGGGGTCAGGATGTGCCTTCAGGTTGCAATCGGAGGATATAAAATCAATTGCAGCATTTCGTTTTAAGGATTTCATTTTCATGTCTTTGCTCCTTTCTTTAATCTCTACACAGCATGTACTCTGCCTGCCTCTAGATATTTTAATTCAGTCACAGTAAGTCAGTTGCACAGAATGGGCACTAGAGAGCAACAGCAATTCAATTAATTTCACACTCACTGTGGGGAGCTGGGATTTTAAATGCTGCACATTGCAGGTGATCTGTAACGTTTCATTTATTCATATACTCGGCAAAGCTCTTTGTTTCTTTCTTATCAAACTTGGAGGTCATGAAAGCCAGAAGTCAGAAAGCTCCTGGCCATTTCATTTCAGAAACAAATATGGTACCTGTTAATGCAAATAAAGTTACAATCAAGCTCACACTGACACATCCAGATTGAAAACGGAATCAGATCAAATTGGTTTGCATTAATAATAGGCTATATATTTAATGAACCTGGCATGGGTATCACTTGTTAGCGTGCTGGACCTGCAGCAATGTCCTGGGGATCCATAAACTGGAATTAAACATAAGACTCCTCTAGCTGCTGGCAATCATAAGCTTTTCTCTTTCTTGGGACAAAGTCACCAGTCCAAAAGACACAACTATAGCTAACACATTTGCTTGTCTGAAGCTTATCACTTTGCTCTGGAAGTGAGAAACTTGGAGTCTAATTGCCCACAGTGTTTTTGGTGGGAGAAAATAGCGAGAGGTTGCGGTAGAACTACAAACTTCCTCAGGACTTTCCCAATTCTTGTGACCGTTGGGAGCAAGCTGTCCTTCTCAAGAGGTGGCTCAGCAGGGCACAGGTACACTCTTCCAGCATGTTATATTTGGAATTAGAGACCCTCAAACAAAGCCCACTCA